AATTTCCTTTTAGAAGAACATATTTTTGGAAAGTAGCAGTTTTTTTAAGAAAATAAAATAGCCAACTGTCATAGTTTTCGAATTATATAGTAAACATCAGAAAGAAAATTTCTTTCTAAACCTATAATATTATTATTACTTATAACTCTAAAATTTGAAACTTGTAAATATTCCATCAAATGAAAATAATAATAATATTTCAACGAGAACCTAGATAAGTATTTTAATTAAAATTAGAACGTGTAAGCACATCCGCAATAGACAGTTTGTTGGTCAGGTGGTCACGGAAGTTAAGGTTTTACTATTTCGAAATAAACATTCTGTTGGTAGCACCCTAATCAGCATTACGCACCGACCACATTTATTTGCCAGAGGGGAAGGTACACATTGCTGAGAATCTGGTTGGGTTTCATACTACCACCTATGATAGAATCCCAGTAGTTCATAGTCCCTTTACAGCATTATCGGAGCCCAAAATCAGAACATGGTATAGTAATCATACATTGTAAATTATTCCTTATCAAATTACGGCATAAAATACAAGTGCATTATTCGTAAAATTTATTTTAATGGTAGAATATTGATGTCTTTCAGCATAGCCGAGAGGTTAGAGTTCACGATTAGAAAGTAATATAAGCTTATATTACATTTACCAGCGGGTGACCGAGCTCCGCTCGGAGAAAACAGGTATCGAAGCTAACTCGAAGATTTAAATTTTCAATTGTGATTTATCAAAACAATACATGCCATAAGAAAATTTGTGAAACCATTGGTGAAAAGATAACCGGTTAAAGTGCACCATTGTAAACTATCTAAACAAAGTTTGGAAAGGGAACTATTCTATACAAAGGTAAAGTTTGAAAAGTCATAGGAAATAAAATGTAATTGATAACAAAAAATTATACAATTAAAGACACTGTTCACAACGAATTCGTAAATTTGCTTCCGTTCATCCGCTTCTTGAAAATTCTTGTCCAGGAAAAGGCGTCGATGAGAGAGGTATTGTCGAGCATAAAAGACGATGTAAACTCCGCAGGAAGACGCATCATCTTGGTGCATCCTTTCAGCTTTTCATTCGTAACAACGGTATTCAAAACGTGTCGCAGTATTTTTCTCAAAGCAGCATCGATGGGCAGCGGGTTGTCGACTGGAGCGCAGACTAATAGTTGACGTTCTCCATAGCTTGCTTCGTAAATTCCTAGCATCCAGTGCTCGCCTCTATCCATTTGAGCTCTCTTGTGAATGGGAATGAGTAGCACGTCGAATCCTTGTTGAACGCCGTACAGATAGTTCTGGTCGCCTTGTTCTGGTCGCTGATATCGTTGAGAAGAGCCATTCCTTCATAAGCGCCATCCGCTGTTGTAACGTAGAAGCGTGCGACAAATTCAGGGTGAAGTACGGCAACTTTGACGGTCGGCGTAATGGAGAAGCATTCTGACAATGACGGTATCTTCTAGTTGTCCATTTGCGAGTTGATCGCTTGTTGTTCCAAAATTCCGGCTCCTTGAAGAATTTCATGTAGAGGTGCGTTCTGCATGTTGAAAATGTAGCTTGAAATCTGATGAATGTTGAAACGTCGGACTTTGTTGACGGTGATTTGAAATCGAAATCAGTTCCTTAAATGCTTTTTTGGAAATTCGAATATTTGGATATTGAAATTTTGAACGAATCAAAAAGAACGAATCTTTTTAGTTAACGAACGAGCGCTAAATTCAAAATTTCATTAACAAATTTACCTTAGTAAAAAGCAGTGGAATTAGAATCGTACTTTTTCAAAAGAAAATTTAGTAAAAATATCAAAGTTATCCTTATTTTTTCTTTTATATTTGTTTTACCGTAATTTTGTGATTTAAAAATAATCGTGTGGTCATCAAACTTTATTAGTTCGCCATATTGGCTATAGATGGCAGCACGTTACCGCTTGAAACTTATTAGGCAATAGACAAAGAAAATTTAAGTGCTGCCATCTATAGCCATTATGGCGAACTAATAAAGTTTGAAAATATCCTATCTGTAACTCCGAACTGCTCGACCGAAGCGCTTCAAAACCGGCGTCAATCGATTCCTCGTGGCCAAAAACCCCAGACCCCCAAGTTTACCGGAGTTTATTAATTCTGGGGCGATTTTCGACTTGGCAACCATTCCTCGTATTATAACTCCGGTTCTGAAATTCCGAACTGCTCGACCGTAGCGCTTCAAAACCGGCGCCATTCGATTCCTCGTGGCCAAAAACCCCAGACCCCCAAGTTTACCGGAGTTTATTAATTCTGGGGCGATTTTCGACTTGGCAACCATTCCTCGTATTATAGTATAAGATAGATTATTTTACATTTATACTTCACATTTTCTTCGAGCTCTAAGAATCGAACTCGGTATCTCTATCTCTCCAGGATGACAACTCCAACCTGTCGGTTAACCTGGCGAAACCTGACGGTCTACCTGTCGTACACACGTCAATACTATGCCGCAATTTTTACAGTCATACTTATTTAGTTTGAGAGATTCGGAGATTTTATGGTAATTAGTACTTATAACATATTTTTAGAAAATAATAAGTAACCAGTTACCTATAACCAATAACCAGAATAGGTTACCAGCTTTGCATATCTTGAAAGTATAATTAACAACAAAGCAGGAACTGATGAAGATATACAAAATAGATTAAACAAAGCCTGAAGCATTTACGCTGTTTTTAATAAATTCTGGAAAAATAAAAACTTAATAAACTCAACAAAAAATTGAATTTTCAATACTAATGTTAAATCTGTCTTACTATATGAATCTGAGATATAGTACTGCAATAAAAATAACATGAAAAAACTTCTAGTATTTATGAACAAGTGCTTAGGAAGAATCTTGCGTATAAGGTGGTTGCATGAAATTTCTAATGTAGAAATACTTAGAAACAGAAACCAATTGATTGTAACATAAAAACGCAAATTGAAATGGATTGGTCATGTTCTAATTAAACCTGAAGTACTTAAATTTGAACAAAATTTTAATTGAAACCCTCAGAGAAATAGAAAAAGAAAACCTTAATATCATATATGGCAGTACTTTTACTTTCGTTACTTGTACCGCCGGTACAAGTAAAAAGTACGTACTTTTACTTGTACTTCGTTACTTTTTAAATTTAGTACTTTTACTTGTACTTTCGTTACTTTTTTAGGGAAAAAGTACAAGTATTTGTAACGGAAATGTC